AACAACAGTTTGTTCTTTTTGAAAGCGGCACAGATTAGAAGATTCTCACATACACAAGCCATAAGCAAAGAAATAAGAACATCCTCAGGAGTAATGTGAAGTGTGATGGTTTCTGGACTGCTACATGGCTGAAAAGTGATGGGTAGGTTGGGATTTTGCTTGCACAGATCTCCCAAACTTCAGTACTTTGAGTTTTGCTTTGTTTTCTTTGGCTTCAGGAGGCAGCCAGTATTTGGAGCTGAGGCAGTCTGGTACTCTGCTTAGTGTCCCCAAAAGACCTGCAAACTTAGCCAAACTTGTAGGCTTGAAAGAGATGAGCTGTGCAGCTTGAATTGTGACTGGACGCCTCTAGTTCTGGGAGGCTGAAATGACTGTGAGCTTTTTGAAATCTTGTTCAAACTGTTTTTATTACACTCAGACAGGAATGTTAGGTTCTTTGTTCCACCTCTTAAAAGGCAAACCTTTTTATTTAAGCCATTTGCGGCTTTTATAGTATGATATATTTGGGTCAGGGGAGGAAACGGGCATAGGCTGTTAGATGTTTCCAAGCTGCTTGAAAAGTCCTTCTGAATGCGTGAAGCTTCAGGAAGTTTTAAGATCCCAGCTGAATTTTGCAAATAATCTCTGTCCTGATTAGGATCAGAAATAAACCCCAGCATTTGAGTTGTTTTAGACTTCTGTGCCCATGAGTGAGTGGGCTGACTCCTCTCTGAGACTGACCTGTTCAAAAAGGGCTCCGCATTTAATTCTAGACTCTACTGGGCTCTGGAAAAAAATGTCCCACATCAGTTATGCTTAGTGAAATGTTATTGTTGTTCGAACAGGACAAAAATGTACGTTCAGCAGTCGGAGGTAAGATAAGAAAGATTTGCAGTGCCTCTTGAAACCATTGGAAGTACATTTCTTGATGCCTGTATACGCTTGGGTATGAGTTTTGGGTCCTCATCTGTTTATTTTGGTTGAGAGAATAACTATTTTTGGGGTGGGGAGGCAGAGAAAGAGCAGTAATTCTCATTATTCCTCTTGTGCCTGTAGTTATACCACTGGAAATATCCTGCTGTAATATACAAAAGAATACACTACTGCTTGAAATGGCCTAGCTGGGTCTGTCAAAATGGCCAGAATTTTGGCCGTAGTGACAGAATTAGGGGAGTAAGAGAATCTTGTACCTAGGTTTAAAGAGATTTCGGGAGAAGCCCAAAGACTGAGGCCTTAAGAACGGAGCCTGTTCTTTAGTGCTCCTTTTTCCCTTCTCCTCTTCCTCCCTCCTTGGCCTGCTGACGTCAGCCTTCAATTACTGCGAGAGGCCCTGCACTTGCATGACAATAATACTGTGCATTTGGCTTTAGTTTTAAAGCCTACAGGTAATTTGTCTTTACAAGGCTGGGAGGCCTCTTGTTGACTGATTGCGTCCATAGGCATGCAGAGATTCTCCTGCTGTGCAGAAATTCTCCCAGGGTGGTGTTGTCATGCACATATGCAATTGGTTGTGTGTAGCCAATGCGATGCATTTTCGGCTGTGCCTTCGACTGGCTGAGGGTGTGTGTGTGTGTGTGTGTGTGTGTATTGCAGGGATTGACTGTGGGGCTGCAGCTCAAACTGCCGTGACTTATGCTGTTTGCTTTGGAAATCTGAGTTTCACTTGGCCCTGATTACCAAGCTGATTGTTGCATTATCCGTGTAGCATTCTTTTTTTTTATAGTTCTTCTAAAATTATTTACATAAGTAATTAAGAAAAGACTGTGCGTTGATTCTGGAGAAGCTCGCATATCAAATCCTATGAGGCTAGCAGCAGGTGCTGTGAGTAATGACTCTTCTAAATTAAGCAGCTCGTTCCAAGGCACTAAGTTAATTTCTAGGTAAAGAGCCTGCATACAAATTCTCAGAATCAGCTACATCGTGACCCGGCAAGTTACTTAAGTCTATATGTAGCTTTAATCACACCAATTGTCTCACTGAAGTTAACGGGGGCCTTTCGTTTTTCGAGGAAACCGGGACTGCGCTTGAGTTTCCGTTAAAATAGTGCCGTCGCGTTGCCGTCTGTTGCCTGGCTCCGTGCTCGGCTTGGTGGCTCTGTCCGCATTGCCAGCGGAGGTGTATTTGCAGCATGGGTAGGCACTGCAAGCCGCCTGGGGCCCAGGGTATGTATGCGGGTGGCTAATGTTTATGCTGAAATCTGCTGTTGTGGGTTTTTTGTAACTAAGTACCAGAGCTTGCTAAAGTGGTGTTTGAGAGGCTTATGCCATTTCCTTCCGCAGCTTTGTGTGTGCAAGTGAATTTCTGCCAGTGACCCCGTGTCTCTAGCGGAGTTGTCTTGCGATGCGCGAGCAGCCGCTGTTGTCCCACAGCGCGGGTGCCGCTCAGGCGACGTTGGCATTAGCCTCTTGCCTTTGGGTTTGTCCAGCTCCAGGCAGCAGTGTTTTTGGTCTGGGCTAAGAGCGCACCCACAAAGGCACGGTGTGTTCTTCAGAAATTACACTGAGCCCATGAGACTGATGGGGTCTTTGTTATTTGCAATTTGAACGCTACGTGATTCCCATATACTGCGCAGGGCTCTAAGGAAATAGGAAGACCTTTATTTTTGTTGCTGCGTAGAGCATGACTTTTGAGTATTTGTCTCACTTGTTGAGTAAGAAGGTGTGGTTCTTGCAAAGTTGAGCTCTCTTCAGAATAGGTCTTCCCCCTTTAAGATCATCCCAAAAATATAGAGAAAGGGGGAATCTGTACTAAAGAGAACTCCATGCAAAGTGGAACAAAGCAGAGATAGTGCATTTGTTTCTTCCAGGGACTCAAAAAAAGAACACAGCTTCAGTGAGGTAGAGCAAAAGTGGTTCGTGTGACTGTAGATTGGTGCTTGTCCTTCCTCGAAATTGTAGTCGGTACCTTTTCTGTCTGTGGATGCTCTGCCTAATTATCAAACTGCTGCTCCAAATCATACACCTGTTAACTAGATCTGAAGCCACTTTTCACTCTCCTCAACTCGTTTTTGCTGTGCTCAATCATCTTCAGAAAGAAATGCTCTTAGGATTGAAGCCTTGAGAGGTCAGGGAAGAGTCCTTTCGTGTTGAAGAGCAATTCCAGGTGACAGCATGCTTCCGAGGGCTGCGCTCAATTTTTATGAACAGCGTTACAGAGCAGCATGACTCTTGTAATTGGTTTAGTGGTCTCTATTTTCCTACATTGTTTTTTTTCTTTTCAGTTTTAGTTCCTACAAGTAGCTTTATTGATTTAAATAACATTGAGCCATCAAAAGTAGGGCTTGATCCAGGCCCTGCCTGTCAGCTAGTGGCAGGTTCCAACTTTGTGTTCATGAAGCCTTGTCAGGTGGAGAAGGCGCTTGCCTTGGACTTTGAAGAGCCTGATAGAGTTCCCTGCTCTACAGCAGAAACAAGTCGGATAAGCTACTTGGTTTTCCAGTAGCTCGGCTTCTACTCCAGCGCCTGAAATCTCTCGCAGAGCTGTGAGGAAAACGTCCTCCTTGAGTGGTGCTCCAGTTCTGCAGGGATTGAGACAAAAATATCTTTAAAAATGATGAAGAGGAAATTGTACCTGCTGCTTAACGCTGACTCCCCACTCTTAAAGGCTCTTCTGACTGTGTGCCTTGTGGGTTTAGCAGATGGTGTGAATGCTTGTGACTGTAGTCTGTGATACCGTGTGATGTCTGCAGGGCCTGGAAGCAGAGAGCTACACCGGGCAAGAGTGGTGCAGGCAGTGATACGGTGACAGGAGCACAGGAACATGCTAATTTCGTGCACCTTTTTTGGGCAATCTTTTCTGAAAAGGGCCAGAATTTGACCCCTTTAAAATACTGCGGTATTGGAGCAGCAAAATCCTGCTTCCCAGATGATTTAGCGCTGTGTGGGCTGCAAGAACTAGAAGTGTCAGAGACTGTCCTCTGCTGCTGGCAAGCAAGGAGGGAAGACAGAAACAGCAGAGGGCATTTTTATTGGGTCAAATTTAGTCTTGCTAAGTTTGGGCCCTGAAGCTCCTCTTGGACTGTATTTAAAAAGAAAAAAAAAAAAAAGCTTTTAGAGAGTTGAAGATGCTGAATTTACATCCAGGAGATTACTGAAATTATGTAATAATCCCATATTTTATTAAACTCTACTAGATTCCCTGCTGTTTTAAGCTATTAGATGAGTAACACCCACAGTAGGTGGAGGCTGCCTGGCTGCGTGTGATGCTTAGAAGTTGACTCGCAAGGTAAAATCACAGGTTGGGCTTTCCTGGGTCAGCTGTCGCCCATTTGGATAACCTGTAAGAAAATCAGTTTTGTACCTCAGTCTTGTTTGGTTTGTCACCATTACCCTGTCTGCTTTTGCAACTTGGAGGGGTATTGACTGTCTCTCTCTCTTGTTTGCTGTTGAGTTCTTGGCCCCACATGGTCTCAGACTCCACTTACACTTCCAGATGTTGCTCTGATATGAAGAATAGTAATTTTGAGGGGGTTGGGAGGGCCTCTGTATCTTTCTCACGAAGGACTGTCTGTCTAAACTCGATCTATCCAAATCCTTTTCCCAGGCTGCATGAATGATTTGTAATGCTTTTTGTTATCAAAACGAGAACTTTAAGGAAAAGGAATCCTGTCCCTCACCAAATATAGGAACACTGGGTTAAGGGACCTGGACACTCTAATAACAACAAAAAATGACTCTACCGGTCTTTCCTCTGAGATAAAACGTGTCAAACGGATTGCTGTATCATTAGATTGAAACTTGGTTGTTACTCCTGTGTGGCAATTTGTTTCTCTTCTCCTAAAATACCTCTGGAGAACATCCCACTGTAGCTCTGTTCTGATCCCAAGACTACATACACACACGTTAAGGAGCAAGTTCTGATGGTGAGGTCCGGGTATCTATTAGAAAGCTCTGAAATCTGGTTTGCTTTCATAAGCATTTCCATTTAGGAAACAGGAACTAATACTGTCCCATTTTTAACTCCTAGAGGAGGAGGGGAAAATGAAAGGCTTCAGAGAACTAGGCTTTTGTCTAGACTGCAGAGCTAGCTGGTTTTCTTGCACTGGCTTGCCAGCCTGCCTTCTCCTTTCGGACTCTGGTCTACTGCTGCATTCCTTCATTGCTTCCCTCTGTAAAGATTATTTATTGACTCTCAAAGTGTGCACGATGGGGCAATTGCTCTGTTAGCTGAGATCCTACAGTCTTTCTGCACTACAAAAGCCTGCACCAAGCAGCTGACAGTCCAGCTTTGCACGACGATGAATTTCCTAGGTATGCTCCTCAGCGGTGACGGCAATATTTGTGTGGCTGCTGTTTATTATGCTGTAAATAATAGTTTAATGGGCTTGCACGGAATAGCTTGTTATTCCGTATTGGTGTGTGGTTTTTAACGGTATGTCGCGGAATTGCTTATGCCTTTTAATTTGCATCGTTTAAAAAGGCAATATTTTTAACACATGATCATGAAGTTAACAGCTTGTGAAGCAGAGGGCAGACAGACTTTTGCCTGCTCCGGAGCTTTTCCTATCTAGAGAATGTAAGTCATAAACATGACAGCTATCGGATTTTTTTTTTTTTGCATCTTTGATAATTTATTTTCCCTAAAAAAAAAAAAAAAAAAAAAAAAAAAGACTAGTTTCAGGGTAAAATGCAAGAATATTAACTAAGCCATGAAAGTCTTTTTGTCATTTGAGTGCTGCTTTTAAAAGGGAACCTGTCACGTCTCTGCGGCAGCGCGTGTGCTTAGTTTGACTCTTCTGGGGACTGAAATACGACTCACTTTGGAATAGAAGACCCCTTGTCAAACTTTCCCCTGGGCTATCTTTTCAAGATTTTGTGTTTTATTTTGTTTGAGGGGGGGAGGTCACTGGTTGGGGAGCTGCTGTGGCCACTGAAGAGCCCATACCGAATCTTTATGCGTTGTCTCCCAGATGCTACGTTGAGTCGTTGAATCTCACTTGTGCGGTAGGTGTTGGTCTCGCCGTACGTAAGCCCCTATTGCCTCCAGAAAGCCGAAAAAAGGATCCTTTTAAGAACTAGGTGGCACAGACCCTAGGTTGTAGTTCGTGACATCGGTGACTTCAGTTTGGGCAGGAGCCAGGTCCCGTTCAGAGCGGCGATACTATAGGAAGCCTCTGGCTCATGGAATGCATGAGCCGCCTGTTGTTTTGTCCTTACAAGATAAAGGTTAGATTGGGCTGGACAGGGCCGTTAGCCACATTTTCCTCAAGTGGAAGGTCTTTCGACTCGGTCATATAGTTAACTAAAAAAATATCGACTAGCTAAGAGCTAGATAAGAGAGATGATGGGGACAGTGAAGTCCCTCAACCCGTAGCAGGCTGGTTTCCTGAGTATCCAACCTACTAATGTCAGTCAGGCCACAAGGCCACCGCGTGGGCGGCCTCTGGCTCTCAGGTCTAGGTGCTTCATAGCTGGAAGCTCATCTGTCTTCTCACAGGTCGCTCTTGTGGAGGCTGCAATTATTCAAGGGTGGTTCTGAGGGTACCTGTGGGAGACGACTGTTATTTTGGGAGGTGGTACTGTGTGGGCTAAAAAGGCGCCCTGAAAAGCATCTGTCTATTGCTGGTGTTACTTAGCTGATAGCAGCAGGAAATCTAGCAGGGCTTAATAAAATGTGAGATTATTACATAATTTCGGTGATGTCCTGGATGCAAAGGTTTTGGGGGTTTTTTGCCCTGAAGAGCCTGGTTGGTTTGACGTTGAGTTAGCCTGTGGGGCTGTGTTTTTGACCACGCGTTCTTAAAATCAGCGTGCTAAATACACTATTAGTGTGGGATTGCCAGAATGTGCGTGTACGTCCACATATATTGGCTGAATTCAGTTGTTATGAAATACACCCTTGGAGACCTCATCTCAGATGTTGTCGGCATGTCCTTCACATTTTGCCAATTTGCAGGAGCTGTGAGGTAGCACTGCGTGGGAAGTGTTACAAGGCATTATGGGAGAAATCCTGAGAACCTAATTTGGGCCAAACTCCTACTGTTTTCAGTGGGTGGCTTGCTGGCATTAGTGCCAGGTACCCCTTTAGCTGTCACAGATGACCTTTCTGCCTTTCTGAAGTCAGTGAGACTGAGAATTGGTGCCTGTGTCTTATATTACAGATCAAATTGCAGGATTACAACCCAGGCCAGTGCTGCTTAAGATTTATGCATGCAGGTGGATTTGTGAACAAGAAGTTGGTTAAATAAAAACCTTTCCAGCAACTGTTCCTTAGATTCTCAGTAATGCTAATCAAATGCCAGAGATTTAGAAGTAGAAATTAGCTGGCGGGTTAGAGCAGTTGATAAAGAGGACTTTCATTCTGTAGGGGAAGCTCTGATGTTCTGAAAACTCTGCTTGGCCTTTCCCTTTGCTGAACCTCATGAGATTCTTGTCAGCCCATTTCTCCAGCCTGTTAAGGTCCTTCTGAATAGCAGCAAAACCACCTGGTGTAGCAACCTCTCCTAGTTTTTTTGTTGTCTGCAGAGTAAGTGAAGGTGCACTCTGTCCCGTCACCTGTAGTCTTTTCTTTATGGAGAATTCGGAGCCCTCTTTATAGTGTTTTAATGAATCAGACTGCTGAACAGTTCTTGAAGTAAGTTGCTCTGGGCTGGGGGAAATGAGACAGATGAAGTAACTTCCCCAAGACTGAGAGCTTTTAATCCTGTGTCTTACAGCAGGAGACTTCATCTTTATTATTTGACACTTCAGTTCCTCGAAGCTCTCATATTTGCTCTAATACCAACTCGTTCCCTATGCTGACACCATAGCAGCCTGCACTGAATATTGCTATACAGTGTTGCTTGTTGGGCAAAAGCTGGACGGAGCGTGCTCTCTAGGGCAGGAAGTCCAAAGGGGAGGTAGGTAAAGCGCAGCAGAAGAGTGAGAGAAAAATCTGATTGTAATTTCATAGTATTGCAAAGTGATTTTTTTTTTTCCCTAAACTGTGCCCCAGAGGAAAGAAGGGCATCGACTGAAATTTTCTCAGTGCTTTATCCGTATCCCCCCTTCCCCCCAAACCTACACCCTACCCATAGTCTAAACCTCTGGGGTAACAGATGGTGTTAAGAGGGGGAGGGAGAGAGAGCAATTTGCATCTAAATAGCTGAAATAAAAGAGGGTCATGTCCCAGAGACCAGCCCCACTCACCTGCTGCTTAAATCCCCCTGAGAAACAGCCAAACATGCTTAGTTTCTTTAACGTCTGTGTCAGCTTTGCTTAACTCTCTAAAGCGTGCTGTTCTAGAGAAGCCGCAAGCCCGTGCATATTGCCAGAGTGATTCTGTTCCAGCCCCAAAACTACGAAAATATTCTGGTGCCGCTCTTTGGTGAATGAAGTTGACAGCTGTGTCTTTTTTTTTCTTTTTTTTCTTTCATCCCTCCCATCAGAGCTACTTCTGCTGTGGGGCATCCTAATCAGCGTTGTGCCCAACGCTGATGTTATAGGAGGGCTGCAAAGCGTGTGCGTGAAGCCAAATTACTCTGGCTTCCTGACTGTATGCAGACAGGCATTGTGAAGTTTCCCAGGTTAAACCAAGTCCTTGCTGTTCCCACTTTCAAGAGCTGTTGCTTAATAATTTTATCCGTGTGTATGAAGGTCTAACAAGTTGTCTCGTGGAGGTGAGAAGAGAAACACACACCCACCTTTCCTATTTATTAATGGAGACTTTGCTTACGGCTCTGCTTCCAGCAGGGAGCAAGCGTTAGTCTCCTCAGACAGAGCTCCTCAAAGTCTATGGCTGTACAGACCTGTAATAAGGAAAATCTTCCCACTTTATAACCATGTGCTCTATCCCCAGTTCTCAAACCATCCTTTCTAGTTTCCAGCCTGTTTTTTGAGGGAGGCAGGCTGTGGAGGAGGCAAGAAAGCCTCATTACGTTCTTGCTCTTAAATACCCAGGTGAGCAAAGCCTGTTTCCACCCAACAGTTCCTTGGACTTACACGCTCAAGTGCTAAAAATAAATACTGTGGAGATGTTCCCAGGGGGTTCAGGAACTTCATTAGTTTTGTCTATTGGCATCTTCCCCACCTCTGAATCCGCTGGAGCCCTGAGAAGTTGGAGTTTGGCAGGCTTCGGTGCTCGGCAAGATGCGGAGCAGTGAAGGAGATGGCTGTGGCCCATCTCTCTCTATCACCTGGTGGAAAAACCCTTCCACAGAGGAGTATGGATTTGGAAGATCTTGACTCTCTGGCTTCCTTCTTCGCAGAGGCTTGTAGGAAAAGACGAAGGGAAATTTTGAGGTTAAGCTCTTCTGACTTGCCCAGCCCTCCCTCCCACAGGTGTCATGAAAGAGGAGCCATACTCAGGGAGCGTGTCTTGGTTTTCTTTTCTCTCTACATCCCCAAGTGTGTTTCCATATAGTGAATGTTAGCACCTGAACGACCCATGTGCATGAGGTAAATACGGATTTGGGCAGCTACTTTGTTGTTTATAACCCTCTGGTGTTTGCGTGTGTGTGTGTGTGTGTTTTTTTTTTTTTTAAATGAATTCAAGTGAGTAAAAATGAGATGAGGTGTATGTATACTTACAGAAGTAAGCTAGCCACTGAGTAATACCAAATAATGTGTGCACTGTGCTTTATAGCTTTTTGCAGCTTTTTGGGGGGGTAATACTTTATATCTTTTGTGGATAATTATGTTTTCCAAATTCTTATAAGATACACGCTTGTTCTCTGTGAGTAGACAAAATAGCTGAGTTACTTATGTGAGTAGCCTGCAGGCTGTGAATTGAGCTCTGCTTCTGCACCGCTGCTTTGCTATCGAAACCTTGCTCCTTCCACCGTCTTCTCTTGGACCCCAGCTCAGGGACACATGCACTTAACCGCCTCTGGCATCTAAGCTGCCTTGCGTTACTGTCTTCTGTGGATAAAATGTTGTTAGGCAGCAGGGCCTCACTGAGCATGTGAAGGCAAATCCAGAAATGAAAGATATTTTTTGAAATATTCCTTTTTTAATTAAAAAAAAAGAGTAATCTGTGCAGCTATAGGAAAGTCACATACTACTTTTTGACAAAGGAGGCCAAGGATGGAAATACAAGGTAATAAGATACCCCTTTAAGGCAGGATTCGCAGGTAGCGGGGAGGAGAACAGGAAATTTGTATTTGTTGGACTGAGTTGCATGCGTGCTTTTTTTTTTTTTTTTTTTTTTTAAGCAACTTAGCAAGCGACTGGATGACATTGGGAATCTTGAATTCTCTAATTTTGTGGCCTCTCCAATTGGCCGAGGTACTTTTTATGCAGAAAGTAACATTCTATTTTCAGTTGCTTTCTGG